CCCAATTAACCTTCCTAACAACCCTACCTGGTAAACACTATTATTAGGTTGAACCTTATGAAATTACCAATATTTGAGTGTTTCTCGCCTACAAAAATGGCAGTTTCATTGGGTCCAGCCTAATATCCCGATATTTCAGATGAGGAAACTGTGGCCTAGAAAGGTTAAATGACCTGCTCAAGGTAACACAGACATAGCTAATAAGCAGCAGAAGTGGGATTTGAACCCAGGTCATCTGGCTGTAGAGTCTACATTACTAAGGCCCATGCTACCGAGTTTCTTAATAGTGCTTCCCCAGTCTGTCTCCTGGGATGGAAGGTGAGATCCTCAGGGCCAAAGCCTCGCACAAGGCTGGCTCCCAGGAAGTTGGATGAGGACCTCTGCAGGCAGAGTCTTCAGTAAATACTGGGCTATTGTTTGGATGATTTACAGCTGTTAGGGCCACAGACTTTCATCACCCAAGAGGGAGATTCAGGATGAGGGAGGAGGTGCCAGGCATTCAGAAAGTCCCGCTCTGTCACTAACAAGGGTCACAAACAAGCTGCTTTATGAGTTTTAATTGAGTATCAATCATCATGTTGATCCAGCTGTGTGGCCTTGGGCAAGTTACTTAATCTCTCTGTGCCTAGTTTTTTTCATCTACAAAATAGGGATAATAAATTGCACTTTTTTTTAGATTTTACCGGTGGCACAGTGGTCAAGTGCTCGGCTACTAAGGTCCATAGTCTGCTTCCTATAGACTTGGAAACCCTATTGGGCAGTTCTGCCCTGTCCTATAGTGTTGGTATGAGTCAGAATTGACTCAACAGCAATGGGCTTGGGCATAGAATTTAAATAAAAATAAACAATGGTTAACACTGGCACCTACTTTAAAATCAGTTAATTTATGAGAGCATTCTCTTTTGTAGAATACACATTGGCACTGAAATAGTTTAGAGAAAGGTAATGGCTGTCTACAAAAAATTAGTTTTGATTGTTGGATTCCCCCCATATTTTATGTGTGTGCACACATGAAAGAAAGTTAAATTCCTCAAGCATTCTATGTTCAGCAATTGAAAAAAAAGTACACTGTTTTCCACTGCTATGGTCTTTATAAAGGACCTGACTTAAAGTTTAAAAAAAAAAAAAATGAAGGTTCTAAGATAACTTTGCTGTATCTTTTAAGAGCCTTTTTATATAGAACAATTTGAGTTGGCATGCAAGTAACTTCTTGAAGGAGATTTTGAGGGTTAAATGAGATGCTCTGTTAAAAAGGTTTAGTACAATACTTGTCCCTGGGTGGTGCAAACAGTTAAGCACATGGCTGCTAGCCAGAAGGTTGGAAGTTCAAGCCCACCCAGGGGCACCTTGGCCTGGTGATCTACTTCTGAAAAATCCACCATCAAAAAGCCTGTGAATGCAGTTCTACTCTGACACACGTGGGGTTGCCATGAGTTGCAGTCGACTCACTGGCAACTGGTTTGGTTTTTGGTTTCAGTCCGGTAGTTGGCACATAGAAAGCACTGAACAAATTTTACCTCTTATAAAGAAGGATTGACCATTTTTATTAAATATTACTACAAAGTACTTTAATAAGCATTAATTCATTTAATCCTCACAACAGCCCTGTGAAAGAAGTAGCATTCCTGCCACTTTCAATATCAAGATGCCGAGGCTCAGAGAGGTTCAATGACCTTCCCAACGTCACCCAGCTGGCCAGGTAGCAGAACAGGGATGAGAAGCCAAGTCGGTCCTTCTGTCTCCACACCTTCCTACTCACCCAGCACCCAATGAATGACAGCATACTCTAGTCTGTGTGGGTGACCCTGAGCCAGTCACATGTTGCATTTCCTCCTCTGTCCCGACCACACAGCTGTCGGGTGGATATGGGGTCACAGGGCTGACAGCATTTTGAAAAGAACACAGTCCGGCTCAGATCTAACATTACAGCTCAGGATGCAGGGAGCAGCAGCTTGGGCTTAAAATGCGTCACCCTATGGACATATCCTGGGGTCTATTTTTAAAATGAATCCCTGATGTCACCTGTTTCCTTGCTGCTGACTCACGCTCTAAAAAGCCATGCTCTCAAAAGGCTCCAAGCAGAGGGTGTGAGCCTATTTTGTTCTAGCTCAGTAGGGTGTAGACCGACAGGTGACTGGGCAGCACAAATGGTTAAGTGCTGGACTATGGCTAGTAAGCCAAAAGGCTGGCGGTTCAAACTCATCCAGCAGCGCCTCGGAAGACAGGCTTGGCAACCTGTTTCTGAAAAGTCACAGCCTTGAAAACCCTGTGGAGTAGTTCTACTCTACACACATGGGGTCGCCATGGGTTGGAATCAATCTGATGGCAGCTAACAACAACAGGGTGTAGGCAGAACAGGGCAGCTAAGAGTGCATACTCTGGAGCCAGACAGCCTAGCGTCATACTCCAGCTCCTGCCCTGAACAGCTGTGTGATCTCTTTGTGTCTCAGTTTCCTCATACACAAAACTATAAGGATTAAATGAATAAATACATATACCAAACCCGTTGCCGTCAATTCCGACTCATAGCAACGTTATAGGACAGAGTAGAACTACCTTATAAGGTTTCCAAGGCTATAAATCTTTATGGAAGCAGACTGCCACATCTTTCTCCCATGGAGCAGCTGGTGAGTTCGAACACTGACCTTTTGGTTAGCAGCTGAGCACTTAACCACTGTGCCACCAGCCTCCAAATACATATAAAGCCCTAAAATAATTCTTGGCACATACAAAACAGTATGTTTAGCTACACTGATGATCATGATTTTATTTTTTGGAGAATAGGGAGGGATGATGTAAATATGCCTTTTATTTTTAATGTACAGGTGATTTTTATTTCTGTGTTAATGTGCCTTTTTTTCTTGTGATCCTTCCATTGCTTTTAAACTTAGAAAATTCTTCTCCATCCATGTATTAGTTAAATAACCCATTGCCGTCAAGTCGATTCCAACTCATAGTGACTCTATAGGACAGAGCAGAACTGCCCCATAGGGTTTCCTAGGAGCTGCTGGTGGATTCGAACTGCCGACTTTTTGGTTAGCAGACGAGCTCTTAACCACTGCGCCACCTGAGCTCCCACCTGGGCTCCATCAGTTAGTTACCTAAATTACCTTCCAGGAAGTTTAATGGTTTACTTATTTTTCCATTTATGTCCAAAAGTATTTTTAAGCCCGGGATATATTTTACTTCATATGAAAAGTTCCAGAGGCTCAATGCCTAGATCTTCTCGACTCTGGTCTTTCTTGTGAAGCCTATATCCAATCCTGCATCAAATGCTAGTGGTACTACTTTAAAATAAGTCAGAATCCAACCCCTCCACTGCGGCCACCCGGGTCTAGCCACCATTATATCTGGATTTTCCCATCAGTCACCTCACCAGTTTCTTTGATCTGTCCCTGCCTAGGGTACCCAGCCCCTTCAGTCCACTCTCCATACATCAGCCAGAAGGTCCTGCCAAAACTGTAGCTCAGAGCACATCACTCCTCTGCTCAGAACCTTCTAATGGCTCCCTGTTTCACTCAGAGTAAAATCCATGGTCCTGCAATGGTGTACAGAATCTGCATGTTGTGGCCCCTCACACCTTCTTTTCCTGCCCCCCTCACTCTGTTCCACTCATTGTGGCCTCTTTGCTGCTCCTTGAACTTGCCAGGCCTGCTCCAGCCTCACGGCCTTTGCACTGGCTGTTCTCTTTGCTTGGAAAGCTCTTCCCAAAGACATTTGCATGGCTCACTCCTCCACCTCCCTCATATCTTTGCTCAGATGAGACCCTCTGAAAGAGGTTAACCCCGACTAGCCTATTTAAAAATGCAGCTCCGACCCTGCAACTCTCAATCCACTACATTGTTCTACGTTGCTGTTTTCCCATAGCACTTTCATCTTCTAATACACCATACAATGTACTAATTCATTGTGTGTATTTTTTATTGCCTCCCTTCCACTAGACTGTAAGTTTCACAAGGGCAGGGATCTTTGGTTTGTTTATTTGTGTATCCCCAGAACCTAGTACAGAGCCTGGCACACACAACAGGCCTGCAATATGTATTTGACAAATGAAGGGATATGCTGGTGGCTCCCTTTACCCTGTGACAGCCCCTGGAGCAGGTCTGAGGAACCCTAGGGTACCTCACTGAGTACAATATGAGAACCTATACTGGACCCATCTGGAATTGTTTTTTTGCTGAGTGAGCTGTGGTAAGAACTAAGTTCTTCCTCCCCCCTCCCCCCACAATTGCTGGTCCTTCCAAGGTCAAATGGAGAGGACTCTATGATGGGCTTTTCTCTCTGCAAGGCCTCCTGGAAGGGAACATCTGCTCTGAGTGTGTGGTGTGTGTGCCCCCAGCCCTGACTGAGGTAGAATGGGACACCGGGGGAAGTGGCAGCCCTGGGTGGGGGTAGACGGCCCCCAGGGAAGGAATGACAGGGGGCTGGAGCCACAGAGCGAGAGCAAGAGAGGGAGGAGGGTGCTCTCACCTCCTCCTCTCATCTCCCAGGCCAAGGCCTAGGATCCTCATTCACTCATTCATTCAATTCATTTATTCATTCTGATAATATGTATCTAGTGTCAACTATGTGCTAGTCACTGTGCTAGTGAGGCACTGGTGAACGCCAGACACAATTCCAGGCCCCATGTGCTCCCACTATAATGGCAGAGCCACCAAAGCTCACCACAATGCAGCCTGTGAAGAGTAAGGCTGGGCAAGCCCGGGGCTGTGCAAGCTCAGTCAAGGCCCTAAATCCAGGGTGGGGTGGGTCAGGGAAGGCTTCTCAGAGAGGGATCAGTAAGAGGTAAACAGGTAATGCAAAGAAGGGAGGGTGCTCCAGGCAGAGGGAACAGCATGTACAAAGGCCTGGAGGTAAGAGGGAGCCTGGCACATTCAGGGAACAGCCTGATGTTAAGCCTGGCTGCAGCATGGAAAGAGGAGGTGGAAAAAGGCTGGAGTGGTCGCTGGGGGATGACAGTGAAGGGCCCAGCGGTGCTGGCCCCGCTGGGGTGTACGTACTGTGACCACTGGTGTAGTGCTGCAGCTTGTCCGTGTACTCCGAGTCGGCACGCTCAAACCCCCGTCTTCTGGAACAAGAGCAAAGGGCTGGAGCCACCTGGAGGTGCCCGGGGAGCTGGGAACCACAGTAGGTGATAGGGAGAGGGTGGGCAAGCCCTCAAAGCCACACGCTGTCGGAGGGCTTCCTGCCTGCCCCTTGCCTAGCAGCCTCTCCCTTCCTGGCCCACCCATCCTTCCCATCTCTCCCACTTCAAGTCCAGGCTCACTCCTTCCCCTGTTCCCACTCTAGTCAAGTCCTTTTCAAGGAGCAAAGTCATATCCCAGCCATGGCCTCTGCTCCTAGAAGTCCCTGGGGCTCCGTCCATCCCTCCTTGGGGCCCAGTCTCTTCTAAAGAAGGGAGCTCTTTAAGGAAGAAGAGAGTTTCTCTGCATTATGATCAGCACAAGTCTGGGAGCAGGTCCCCCTCCTGCCCTGCCACTTGGGAAGCCCTTTCCCCACCTCCTCCTGTCTAAGTCCTCCCCTTCTTTCCAGCCACCTCAGCCAGGGGCCTTACTGGACTGCCTCAGTCTCCCACCTCTGACACTCGGGTATGGTCCTCTTCTTGAAGGGGCCTCAACCAGTGCAGGCAGCGAGTGAGCTGTGCTCCCCCTCCGCCATCTTCTTAGCTCCTCGCACCCCCCCAGTCTTCCCTGCCCACTGTTCTTAGATGTTCCCTCATGCTGAAGTACTAGCGCTCCACAAGCTGTCCCTCCTGAAAAAGTGGACTTGCCAAGGGCGATGCCTAATCCAAAGGGGCTGGCAGCTAATGGTGGGCTTTTAGGCAGTGGGAGGCCTCTTGAGGGTATTCAGGCCTACCTGAGTCTCCCCCCTGCCCCTGGGAATTATGGGAATACCCCCTCTGTTCATGAACACTGATCGATGGGAGCCTGGAATGGCTGAACGGGTGGACAGAGTGCAGCTTGGACAGCCAGGCTGGATGGGCTGGGGGACGTCCACCCACCTGTTACACACGATGGCGATGACAACCACGGCAATGAGGAAAACCAGGCCGGCAGCCGAGGAGCCAATGATGAGTGGCAGCTTCTCCTGGATGCTTGTCTGGTATTCGGCTGGGGAGAAAGCACAGTATGTGTCCTCAGCCTGAGTCCGAGAGGCTTGCTCAATCCTCTCCCAGCCCAACTGGGCAGACATTGCTAATCCATCCCAGCACTCCTTCCTGCTGAACTCACATGTGGCTTCAGAACTCTTCTCAGTCCAACTATACTCTTTGGAGTAGTGTATGGATAAAAGAGGTTTACTCTCTCAAACTGAATACCTCCCACCCTGCCAGGTGTCTTGGGGTCTCCAGGCTCTGTCCTGGCTCCCGATAGAGTACCTGTCACATGCCTTTGCAGAGAACGGGCTATGTCACTTACTCACAAGTGACTTCGGGCAAGTCCCTAAACTACTCCAACCCTCATATTTCATCTCTAAAGTGGGGGTAGTAATCATACCTCCATCTCACTGTTGACATGAAAAACAACAAAAATACCTGACACAAAGAGGCGGTTAGAAGTATTGACTCTGGAGCCAGACTCCCTGGGTTTGAATCCTGACTGAGTCAGTTACTGGCTCTGTGATCTCTGGCAAGTAACTTAACCTCTCTGTGTCTCAGTTTCCTCATCCGTAAAATGGAGAGAATAATAGTTCCCATCTCATAAGATTGTTGTGTAAAGCATTTAGAACAACAAGTGCTCAATAAAGACGAACTCGACTTGGATGGCAATGGGTTTTTTGGTTTTGGGTTATTGTTACTGAGTGTTTTTACATATCAATCACCATGCTAAATATGTTGTGGGTCTTGTCTGAGTCTCAGAACAGTCCTATGGTTACTCCATGTCACAGATGAGGGCACTGAGGCTTAGAAAGCCTGCAACTTACCTGAAGTCATACAGCTAAGAAGTGGCCAAAGCCAGGATTTGAATCCAGGCCTGCTTAACCCAAGGCCTGTGGGTGTAATGAAATAATGCATAAGATGCACTTGGCAGTGGGCCTGGCACTGGGAAAACACTTGGTACATTTTCAATGCCATCAACATCATCATCATGTTTAATACTATTATTATTACTTCTCATCTGCCTCCTGGAACAGAACAGGAGCTTGATGAGGTCAGGAACTAGGCCAACTCTGAGTCCTTAGTTCTTGCACATGGCCTGGCACATGGCAGGGCCCCAGCACATGTTTGTTGAATTAATAAAGAAAGAAACTTAGGCCAGGTCCCCACTCCCAGGTCAGTGACCCTCATCCAACATGGAAGAGGGCTTAGAGAGCTGACAAATGCTGTCCACGAGGAAGGGGGCATTCGACAGGGGAGGTGACAGAGGTGGTGGGGCCTTAAGGGAGGGTTTTTGTGATGACATGAGAATTCAGGTATCCTAGAGCCTCTGAAGAGGAGCCCTGGTGGCACAGTGGTTAAGCTGTCAGCTGCTAATTGAAAGGTCAGCGGTTCAAACCCATCAGCTGCTCCACAGGAGAAAAGTGTGGCAGTCTGCTTCTGTAAAGATTACAGCCTTGGAAACCCTATGGGGCAGTTCTACTCTGTCCTATAGGGTCATTGTGAGTTGGAAGGGACTCAACGGCAATGGGTTTGGTTTAACAGATTTACAGTCTCTGAAGGAGTCCCTGGGTGGATCAAATGGCTAAGTGCTCGACTACTAGCCGAAAGGTTGGCAGTTCAAACAGACCCAGAAATGTGCTGGAAGACAGGCCTGGTGATCTGCTTCTGAAAGGTCACAGCCTTGAAAACCCCATGGAGCAGTTCTAACTCTACACAGATGGGGTTGCCATGAGTCAGAATCATCTCGATGACAACTAACAACAACAACAACAGAACCTCTGAAACGCTTAGCCAGGCAAAGGCTGAGGCCCATACCTGGCTGCTAAAGCAGATGCTAAGAAGAGATGCGGAAGCTTGGTCACACCTGAGGCTGTGGGCTGCCCCAGAGCTCAGCTGCTCAAGGTAGGGCTCCCAGACTCAGAGTGACTACAACTATGGCCTTAGCTATTAGGTGGCGCAGTGGTTAAAAGCTCGGCTGCTAACCCAAGGGTTGGCAGTTCGAATCCACTAGCCGCTCCTTGGAAACCCTACGAGGCAGTTCTACTCTGTCCTACAGGGTCACTGTGAGTTGGAATTGACTCGATGGCAATGGGTTTGGTTTTGGTTTTTGGTTAACTATGTGTTGGACCTAGTGCTGACCCTGTGCTAAGTCCTGTACAATTATCCCTAATCCCTACACTAGTTTGATAATGATGGTGATGATGAGAATAATGAGATAGCTGTTACGACCCATTTATAGACAAGAAAACAGAGGCTCAGAGAGGTAAGGTGACTTGCTCAGGGCCACATAGTTAGCGGCTAACTCAGCAGAGGAAGCCCCATTTGTTGGCTGTAGAGCCCACACTCTTCACTATGTGCTCCTCACAGATCATTTGAATAGGAAGAGTACTTAGAGACCATGTGGTCCCAGACTGGGAGACACACAGCACATGTGCTGCAATTTCTGACTCCCTTGTCCAGGGCAGACATTACTAATCCATCCCAGCACTCCTTGCTGAACAGACATGCGGCTTCAGAACTCTTCTCTATCTAACTATACTCATTGGAGTAGTGTATGAATAAAATAGGTTTATGTGCTGAAATTGAATACAATGCCCAATGCTTTTATTTTACAGATGAGAAAAATATGGGCAAGGGAATGGAAGTCAGGGCTAAGCTCCCAAGAGTCCTGGGAAAGGAAATCATCTGGCTGATATGGTGGTAATGAAAAGTCCACATTCTTTCAGGGCCATTGAAATAGAGGTTCTATATAAGGTTGTGCAGTTTGTATACTGCACATAGGTTCCCAATCAGAAGGGAGGGAGGCTTGACATCTGGAAGAGGAGGGTGCTTTTGTGAATTTTCACAAAAGACACTTCATAGAAACGAAGTTTGTTCTGTTTGCGGAGCCTGTGCCTTCCTCTTGGCCTCTGGACCCTGCTCACCTTCCGTCATGGTCTGGAAGTACATCTTGCCGCTGTAGCGCCCGTAGCCTGCCACGGTGCGTGCCCGCACCTGGAAGACATAGATGGCGCCGGCTTTGAGGCCCTGCACAGTGACCGTGTTGGTGGGGCTTTTTATGGCTGTGGCGTTGTACTCACTGAGCTCCTGCCGAGGAACAGAGAAGACAGTTAGCGAGGTCGTTGCCCACTGTGGGCCCAGAGCCCACTGCCCACTCCTGCTACCCTGGGGTGGGTCTGGTCTTTGGCATCTATGGTTTCTAATTTTTTACTCCCTCTCTGTAATAGAATCACACGCCCATGCCTTTTGCCATGTGACTTTGTAGCATTTCCCACAAAAGCAGATAGAGCATATTTCTCTGCCTCATGGATTTTAGATTTGTCCATCTGCTTGCTTTGGTCATTGGAACATTCTAGTGGGCATGATGCAAGCAGAAGCATTACATGTGCTTGCTGATTTGGCTTGACCTCTTGTGCTTCTGCCATCTGCCATGAGGAGGGCTTGCCCTGGGTAACAGCTCGTTCCAGAATGAGAGACATGTGGAGAAGACCTTCACCCAACTCCTAGGCTTAACCACAGCCACTCCAGTTGACCACAGACATAGAACCGATGAGCAAGAAAAATAATCACTTGTTGTTGTAAGCCATTGGAATTTTGGAGTTGTTTGTTTTGCAGCAGCATCTCAACAATAGCTGACTAATACACATGCACGGAGTGCCTACTGTGTGCACACCCTGAAGACTAGACTGTGAGTTCCTGGAGATGGCAGGGAGAGGGCCCACCTTTTATTCACTTCTGCATCCCCCTTGGTGCCCCATGCTTTGATGAGTTAACTGGAAGAAACCCCATTCAGACCCAGCACACTTGGGCAAGGCAAGGACTGAGGCCAGGAGAGGAAAAATAATGCTCACGGTAACACATATGAGTTGGTGGCTGCTCTGGGACTCAAAACTAGTTTTCTGCATGGAGCCACCTCTAGTGTCCATGCCTTTGGGTACCTAGGACCTAATGTTTGCTCCCTTGAGAAATGCAGAGGCCTATTATGATCTCCTGGGCACTGGCCAGGGCGACCTGGTGAGTCTGGAACCAAAGATCCAGCTGCTGCAGTGGGAGTGGAGTGTACTTGAGTGGATACAAATGCTTACTAACCTACATGATGCTCATTCAGGCATCTGTCAGTCACCCAGAAAGCATTCTCCAAATGCCCTCTCTGTGCCAGGCCCTGGGCTGGGCACTGGGAACCCAGCAGGGACTAAAGCACAGGCCTTGGCCTCTAAGAGCTCATTCCAGAAAAGCATACAGTCTGGGGATCTCAACCCTTTGAGGATCATGAACACATCTGAGAAGCTGATGAAAAGCTGTGCACTCTGATCCAGAAAACTGCATACCTGGTTGTACATGCCAGTCATGTACACATCGGGGGTACACAGAGCCCCTGAAAACCCTCCAATTAAAGTTCAGAGTAAGTGATGTTATTACAGGCCTTAAAGTGTAGAGGTTAAGGTCACAGACTAGAGTCATATTTTCTGGGTTCAAATCCCAGCTCTGCTACTTATTACCTTTGTGACCTTCCGTGAGTTCCTTAACCTCTCTGTGCCTCCTTTTCTTCAACTGTAAAATGGGGATAATAACAGTAGCTACCTCAAAGAGTAGTTTGGAGGATAAAACAAATTAATGTGTATAAAATGCTTGCCCTGGTGGCACAAATGGTTAAGCGCTTGACTGCTAACCAAAAGGTTGGCAGTTCGAACCCACTCAACAGCTTCACAGGAAAAAAACCTGGTGATGTGCTTCTGTAAAGATTATAGCCAAGAAGACCCTATGGGGGTAGTTCTACTCTGTCACGTGGGGTTGCTATGAGTCAAAATTGACTCAACGGCACCTAACAACAACAAAATGCTTGTACTGGTAGGGTAGGCACAAGGGGCTGAGGAGCATGTAACCCAGCCAGGGTGTGGGAGGTATCAGATGAAGCCAGGAAAGGTCCCTAGAGAGTGGG